ATGGGTGGGTGGATGGATGGTAGTAAAGTAAAGTCTGTTCTCCCCACCTATTCCACCTTCCTCAGGATCCACTGATTTCCCTCTTTCGTGTCCCTTTGCTCTCTTTCTTAACATTTTTTATCACAATTGCCTATTTTTCCTCATTTTAAATATATTTTTCAACATTTTCTAAATGCTTTTTTATGTTTTTACATTTTTTGTTTTTGTGAAGCGCCTCGTGATTTTTATCTTGAGAGGCGCTATAGAAATGATACTTTGTTCCTCTTCTTCTTAAAAAAAATGTACTTACGCCAAGTAAGTTTGTGATCTATCAAACATGGAGTATGCACAGCTGCACGCAATCTCCGCTTCATAAATCAGAAAATATCTAGAAAGGTTCTCAGCTGCTTTTTAGTCACACCCCGCCCTCACCACGCCCACTTACTGCCATAAATAGTCAATGCAAAGTGCCTTGTGGACCTCATGCATATACATAAGCCGGGTGTTGCAGCGCTCCGCCAATGACGATGGCGACTGTAGATCAAGGCAGATCAAGGAAGCTCAATTTCACAGAAGCAGAAATTGAGGTACCTGTGGGTGAGGTGGAGAAATGAAAGGAAGTGCTTTTGCAAAACAAATAAGAGAAAATCCACGGAGTGGCACTGCGTTGCTGAAGCCGTCAATGTTGTGAATTCTTCAGAGAGATCTGTGGCGGATGTAAAAAAAAAAAGGTCCAATCAGGATTTGATCCCCAGACTCCCAGGTGAAAGTCACGCGCGCTAACCAGTCACCCAAACAGAGATCTCCACCTTACAATTAGCCAGGGCGCATGATCAATCGGGTCACAGTGACAGGACACACACACAGTCACAGACGCATGACATTCAGTCTCAATCAGTCCCCCTGCTGATATTCTGCATTCCGTATTCTGCACTTCAGGCTCTGTGTGTGTGTGTGTGTGCGCGCACGCCTGTGTGCGAGTGTGCGCACATGTGTGTGTACGCGCACGTGTGTGTGCGTGTGGGGTGTCTTGTTCTGTGTGAAAAGGAAGCAGTACAAGTGATAATGCTGCTGGATTTCATAATGTTATCCTTCTCAGCAGCAGCAGCACTGCAGGTGCTCTCCATGTCCAACATGTGCGTAAGCCAGGTCCTTAGTCAACTTAAAGTTGAGCACATTTTCCCGCTAAGTTTTCTTTCATAAATCCCAAAGTTTGCATGGAAAGTTGCTTACGCAGTTTTCCGACCCCTTTTGTGCGTAAGCAAGCTTGATAAATGAGGCCCCAGATCTGTGTGAGTCCTTCTGGCTTCAGTGTTTCAAGAATCAGAACTAGTTTACAGGCTTCATGGTGCCAAGTGTTTGTTCTGAAAGATCTGAAGGAAAAATGGAAATTTTCCTAAAGTTAAACTTTTTTCCTGCAGATATTTAATTTAGAGCTGAAACGAATCATCAAATGATTCGATTCATTTTTACTGATTCGGAGCTTCGTTAAATGTGCGCTCCACAGTCTGAACACATTTATTTTACTGGCGCACAAGGCTGTAATCTAGGTGCTGTGAAGGAAAATAGAGGGACCAGCAAAAACAGAAACCATTGTAAAAGTCAGAAACGTTCCAAAGTTTGGGATCAAGAGTTAACCTATAGATAGGCTAATGCTAAGCTAGCACGTAACACGCTCACAAATCACGATCAAGTGGAGATCAGAAAACAAAACCTGATGGTTGTGAATGACTAAACTCCAAAAGCGGAAGAAAAATCCCCACCATCCTGTTAATGTGTGGATCTCTGCAGCTGCAGCCGTGTGGAGCAGAACCGCTGCAGCTGCTACCTGGAGTCTGCTGCTGTTGCTACTGAGCGTTAGCAACTCGAGTCTGCTTCGCAAACAGTGTTGCCAACTGTTTTTGACTGAAAGTAGCTGAAGTTCCCCCCAAAAGTCACTAGATGTCACCAAATGACGTCACGTGCTAATTTGCATACGGCGCAATGACGTCATCTGGTTTGCGTAATGACGTCAACGGTCTTGTAGAGTAAATCAAATAAAACCCACGTGGTTTAATTAAAAAAATATTTAATTTCTTTGTTAATACTTTATAAAAAACCCATAGAATACGAAACAGCAGCCTTTAAAACATCAAGGAAAGATGACACAAAAAGATGGAAGGAATATTTATATTTTGTCTGAAGAGAATGGAACTCTTAAACACAAAAAATATTAAATTTATAGGATTGTATGTATGATTGAATTAAAATGAATATTCTGTTGTAGTTTTCAAGTGCCTTGAGATGTATTCTTCTGTTGTGATTCAGTGCTATATATTGACCTAAAAGATAATATATATATATATATATATAGTTTTTGTTTGGTTTTGTTGTTTTTAGTACTTCTGTGTAAAAAGAAGCAAGTCGTATTTAGTATTCAGAAACGTTACATGCAAACTGCCAATGACCTGCCAATGACTTACATATTCAGTTTTTTTTATAAAAGTTTTAAATGTGCTACGTTATTGAACTCATCATAGAGTTCCAATGTTCCTTGAATGCACCACAAGTGGTGAGAGATGCCACGTGTGAGTGCGACGCTGGTGCCAGCCGAGCTCAGCTGCCGAAATGCGGCAGGATGGCGGAAGGAGCGGTCGCCCTTTATGTAGCTCCGGTGGCTATCTCAAATAATGGACTTGTGAAAACCCACAAAAGGTTTGATTGGCCAACGGGGGTAGCATGATCATGCTGTAAGCACATGCGCAGATCATTTTCTTTCTGATCCTCTGGAAGGAAGGACGGTCCTGTCGCTAATCTGCAGGTAAAGTCTGCTACAAAGTTGTAGTCAAAGTAGCTGAGGGGGGTCAGAAATGTCACCAGAATTGTCGCTAGGCGCTTTTTTGAAAAAATGTAGTTAAGGGGGTCTGAAAAGGCGTTAGAAATGGTGACAAATTCACTAAGTTGGCAACACTGTTCGCAAACTGCAAATAGTCTAAGGCAAGCCATTATAGCATGTAATCCAAAAACACTTCAATATATGGATACAATTTAAACTGGATTATGTTCCCAACCTGTACATAATAAAAGATATATGCCACCATTCCATTGTTACTAGTAGAAATTAAATGTTATAATTTCCAGTAGCTTACTACTGAATATGTTAATGAAATAATTAAAGTCTACTGATCAGATGTGAAAATATTTAGATATGTTTAAACTAAGATGAGTGATATTAAACCTAAAATTTTGTTCCATAAAATATTTATTAACTATAAATATCAGATGGGAAAGACAAATCGTTTTGTTGTTTTATTTTTTTTATAATGTTAACAGAAGTCCATAGTCTTGTTTCACTTGAAACATCGTCAAATAGAATACTCGAATACTAAAATATTCTATAGCTGCAGCCCTAATTTAATCCATCCATCCATCCACCCACCCATCCATCCATCCATCCATCCATCCATCCATCCATCCACCCACCCACCCACCCACCTAACCACCAACCCACCCATCCATTCATCCATCCATCCATCCATCCATCCATCCATCCATCCATCCACCCACCCACCCACCCACCTAACCACCAACCCACCCATCCATTCATCCACCCGATCAAATATTTCCCGGGCACAGTCATGGCTCACCACTCCCCGGGTAAGTCAAATGGAGAGATGAATTTCACCAGTGTGATGACTAATGGGACTTTAACTATCTGTCTTTCTGTTTGTCCATCTGCCAAATGATCAGTCTGATGACCCGTCTTTCCATTGCATCCAGTACTGAAGGTCAATGATCAAACAATGAATTAGAATAAAATGATAAATGAGAAACCTGGCCAGGGAACGCCTTGGGATTCCCCCGGAGGAGCTGGCCCAAGTGGCTGGGGAGAGGGAAGTCTGGGCCTCTCGCCTTAGGCTACTGTCCCCGTGACCCGACTCCGGATAAGCGGATGAAAATGGATGGATGGATGGAGAAAGAAAAATACGGAACACCAACAGCCAGTGAAGTCATCTTCTTTAACCATGAGAAGTGAAGCATCACAGACTTGACTAGTGATTATAAAGAGCCTGCACTGAAAAACTCAGCCAATGTTACATCACCTTTACCACCAATAATACAAAAGCACACTCTCACACAGCAATCAGCAGACAAAGGCAATCACAGCCCAGACCAGAGCTGTCTTAGCTTCATCTCTGAGGACAGATAATCCACATAGGTCCTTCAGCAAATACATACATCCTATTCCTGTTTCCTATTTCACTCGTGCACCAGACCAGGCTGCAGGGATTTCAAACACATCAGCTTATCGGCTGCTGTGCTCCCCTTAGCTGTCGGTTGGCCCAGTCTGTGCTCAAGTTACAAATCACTTTCTGGTAGCCACTGAACACTTTTACACGCTTCAGCTTTACACTGTGCCACAAAAATTAGAATATCAGCAATTCATCTTTAATCGCATAAATCAGGAACTAATCTTCTCATTTGTGACAGAATTTCAGAAACAACTGAAGGCAAGAATAAAATGACAGAAGAATTTATTAAACATGTGGGTGCACATTTATTTTATCATTCCTGAGCTTACTACTATACTATGAGTTGGACTATGAGTTGGATTACTGACCAATTTGCCAGATAAATTTCCAGAAATCTGCCAACAGACCTTTCCAATGTGACCTCTAATCTTGGTCTTTATTATTTTCCATTTATTGTTTGTAAATGCACTAAAGCGAATAAGAGCTAATCAAAATATAGATCGACAGCTGCTTTAAATGAGGTTGATGGATAAACCAAAGTTCACAAAAACTAAGATGATGAAGATTTGCATGAAATCTTTTACTGTTGCAACATGACATGTCTGAAATGAGAGGCATTAGTGTAAAAAAGGTTTGTAGAAATTCAGCTGTGCTGCTTTGATGGCTTATATGACCTAAAAATAATGTTTATTATTCAATGATTGGTTTAATTTTGTCAACATGCCAACTACTGGGATTTAGGATGAACTTGTGACATTGCTTTCAACCACGAAAGCTTTCTTCTCCTACCTGCCACTTGTGTTGCGCAGGATCACCAGGGCATCAGGGAAGCCATCAAGGTTGTAGTCTCCAAGGTGGAGGACTAGGGGTTGGTTGGTGTTCCCTGGTACAAATCCCCAAACAGTTTCCTTGTGATTGAAATCTGACAGGATGGACACCCACTGTAAAAAAAAAACACACATTTATGTTAATTACAACGTGACAAATTGGACAAAGTGACTTTGTACTGATTATCACAAAAGTAGGGATCTCCTTCGCAACACTTTGTATCTTAAAGAGTCCAAAAGACAAACTGCCACCTGACAATGCAGTTATATTCAGGCTGCAGCTGATGTTCCTGCATTTGGCAGGCACTTTAATCCAAAACAACTTACACGGATGTGAGGCTGCATGGTGGCTGATGTGTTCTGTCTAAGGACAACCGGAAACGTCAACCCTCTCATCACTGGACGATTTATCTCCTGAGCCACACCATTGGAACAGCTTTGTCCTTACTTGGTTCGATCACTTTGACCTCTTCAATCCTCCCACTGTGATTAGATATCTGCTCTAATCTCATTTGAAGAGGTGTACCCAGTAAATCAGTATGTGCATATAAACATTATAATGAGCACAAAACTAGCATTTTAGACTTTAACTCATGGTCACTTGTGTAACGTCATGAAATGGCCTGATTTTGAGATCCCACAGGTCAAATGCACAGCCCTGGCTATAACATCCTACAGTATCTTTTCCCCTCACAGGAGTTTCAAAGTTTGCATGTAGCCCCTTTAATCAGAGCCTACTTCCTCACACCAGCTGGACTGCAGAGATAATAAATCATAAACAATAACATCTTGTCCTCCAAGGTCCATCACAGAGGAACTCTTTTAAAATAAACTCCTTTATTCTCAGAAGAAAAGAAGATTTTATAATTAAAAATAATCACTGAATGAACCTTTGTTATTGCTAATTATAAATAATGAAATGTTTCATTAATCTGTGCTCAATGATCATTTTAATATGTTTACTTGACGAGGTTATAACATTTGCACTCACAAGTAAAGTTAAGTTAATGCATGACACATAAGTTAACCTTTTGCCTAGATTCGGAGTCTCCATCACAGAGGGTGTGTTTCTGAGATGCTTGGTAACATCTCTCAAACTTGTCAGCCCCTGGTTGGCTGGCCAAACCATAATATCAATTCTTTAAAACCAGATGGCTTTCAGTAATTAGTCAGTTCTAGAGCGAGCTTCAGACCGGCCATCTTGAGGCACCTCTCTAACCAGAAGGATTTTGACACGTCGTCAAAACCTTAAACCTTTTTTGCACCTGCGAAGCTGAACAACAAGATAGTTTTCCTGCAGAACAAAGCTGACTCCAAACTCCTTCAGAGGTATTTTTAAGACTCTCGGTTTCATCCATCTGTCGTGACCGAAGAGACATCTCCGGACTGAAAGAACCGGTACCTCGGTCCTCTACAGCCCTCCGGTGCCAGTGGTCATCCGACCTCTCACTTTCGGATCCACCAAGAGGGTCTCTTAATCCGGGTAAAGTAAACGCACAGATAGCGTCTGAATGTGGTTCTGATAATAACATCTTTATAATTTATTTGCAAACCAAATTCTTTCCATCCAAAACTCAGTTCTGAGAACGGAGATTCTGAATACATTATATTCACACATAGGTTCCAGACAATCCATTAGTTCGCATCCACTCACAGTAAATAATAGTTTAAACAATTTGTCAAGTCTTAAGTGTTTGTAAAATAAATTCTTACTTTGTTTATAAACCTGACTGTTTCTTGAATCAAAGCGAAGTGTGTACGATCCCTTAATGAATAAAAGAATCCTAGGATCTTCTAATTAATCATACTAAGACCAAGCAGGGGGTATTCTGTTTATATAGTGTATCATAGCTTTGGTCACAAGTGGTGGTAATAATACTAAATAGCTCTTAAGCAATTTACCCTCTATTATAATTACACTTGTCTATCAATGATAAAAATGGAACAAATACATATAGAATGTATTTGTATGGATGGTAGGATGGCTTGAATACAATTTAATGAACTGTAGAAAAACGCCACAAAAACCTTTTGAGCATTAGAAAAACAGCTTGATTGCGTAAACCTCTAGTTAACAGCCATGGCAAACATGGAAACTGAACACTGGTTAATGCCATCACTCTTATTGTAGATGATTTTCTCTAACCAGAATGTCCTAAATCTCTGTCGATGTTCAAGTGTCCTTTGGTACAGCCATATTTATTCAGTAACCCAGCAGTGAACAACAAACTGCATTTTTCATACAGTTATATACCACTACTACTGAGATCTCCATCTCAATCCTCACATATAGCCTAACATTTGGGTGATGGCTAAAAGAACAAGATCACAAATACAAGCAGGTGAAATGAGTCTCCTCCATAAGCTGCTCTGGCTAAGCCTTAGAGATTGGTTGAAGAGCTTGGACATTCGAAAAAGACTGGAAAATAGTGGAGCTGTTGTTCCTCCACTTTGAGAGGAGCCAGCTGAGGGGGTTTGGTCTATTGATGAAAATGCCCGCCGGCCACTTCCCAGCAGAAGCCCCCCATGGTGACTCTGGACAGGGTGGAGGGTGTATTTCTCCATGTTGGACTGGGAACCGCTGACGTCGTTAGGTCCGTTTTAGGGGGGCTTCAGCCCCCCTAAAATAATCACAAGCCCCCCTATCATTTTGGTTTATTTTATTTTTTCAGTTAACTTTTTTTATTTGTTCACATCTACATGCTCAACACAATCACGACACTTGTAGTTGGTACATGAGTTTTTTTTTCAGTCTGAAACAGAAATAATAATGAATATAGAACTACACCGTCGCACACAGGAAGTATCAAGAAAGGACTTCCTCCCCTTAAGCCCGGCAGCTTTGTTGACAAGTCAGGGGCAGGGGTTATACAGCAAAACCTTTATATCGATGAGCAAACCCTGCTCAGCGCTCTTGTAAGTCACTCAACATCACATTAGGGTAAGACAGCAACAGCAGCACACCGTTAATATTTCAAGGTTATAGTTCAGACGAGAGAGGAAAATGTTACCGCACCGACATGCTAATGCTAACTCCGCTAGCATGTTTACATGCCGCAAACCATAATGAAAAGCCGCGCCATAGTTAAATGGTCGGAAAACTCCCCTGAAGTGACGTGATTAACGAGCCAGCCAGTTCATTGAGTGACTTAGTGCCACCAACTTGAGCGTACAGTAATGAGTCTGCACAAACAGAACCTGCTCTGCGCTTGTGTGCAGGAGCTGCAGCCCGCTCTGTGGGCTCAACTCTGTCTCTGCGATGCAAATCTCTCCCGCTCTTCTCAACAAGTAGCCTCTCCAACAGTCAATCACAGACAGCTCTGTTTTATCCAATCAAAGCATGTCCAGGATTTATACTGCTTTACAGAAAAACACCCATTTAACAGCTAATTGAACTGCTTTCTGCTGCTGGTTAGCTACCAGTCACCATCCACTGCCAGCAAAATACTTTGTTGTAATTCATGTGTCATGATTAGGGTTACCATATTTGACTTCCAGAAAAGACACATTGTCCATTCCTAAAACTGTTAAATTGCACTCTTTTCAGTTAAAGAGGACTTTTAATTTCAACATATAAAGTGTTTCTTCTCTGTTTGGTTAGACATAAATGAGCCCTTGATGTGTAAAAGGAAGTGAAAAGTGGAAATGTCCCAGGAAAAGAGGAGGGTTAATCAACCTAATTAAATATAATTATATAAAGTCCTCTTTATCTGAAAAAAGTGCAATTTTCCTGGCAGTATTTCCTGGACATGCTTTGATTGCATAATGGAGAGCTGTCTGATTGGCTGACGGAGAGGCTACATTGCTTTGTAAATTGCAAATTGAGAAACAACAGGGAGAAATCTGTGCAGGCAGAGACGGAGTTGAGCATGCAGAGAGAGGGCCGCATATGACTGCAGAGCAGGTTGTGCTCTTGCAGATTTATCACTGCACGCTCCAGTTGGTGGCACAAAAATCACTCCACACTAAAAACCTGAATCAGAATATGGCCGAATGTGTATATTACTGACCATTTTTCTATATTATACATTTTTTCTATAATATATATATTATATTATAGGTACATATATGTATCTATAATATAGTAAACATCCAGTTTTATATATGTCACATATATTCAAAAGCTACATCAAAACATATATTAAAACCTATATGTTTATATGAATTCTTTCCATGTGGGTTGTCAATTGCTTAATATTTTCTATGTTTACCTATGGTAAAGAAAGGAGATATTGTACTCATCTAACTTTAACATAAATTTTGGCAGCTTAATGTGACGTTATGGAAAATGCCATCATCATGAGCAACCAAACATGGGCTATATTAGGCTAACAGTTGTCCATATTCTGTACCATCTATCCACCAATGGCTGTTTCAATTATTGTGAGTGAAAACTAAATGGCATAGCAGCATTTGTCTTGGCATTAGAAATTGAAAATGTTTTTCATTGTGTTGGCTAGATGGATATACGAAGATTTTTTAAGAGAGTGAGTGAGGAACAGGAGAGAGACCAGGTGGTTGATGCTGGGGAGATCTGCATGGTCAAGGTCAGTGATCTACAGCGAAAACAGGGGCGAGCGCATCGTTATGAGCATTTACCTGAGCACAAAGTTCCCAAGCAAAATTGAACAGTTTTCTATTTAGGAGTGAACAGGTAAGAGACCTTGAGAAAAAAATAACTATAATTATCATCTGACCTGCAACCTTATGTCAAGTTGTATCTGTATAGTTGACTTTCTGTATTATAAGTTCGTTTTATATAAACTGTTATTTTGTCTTGTAATAGTTAATTACACACTCCTTTATTCCATATCATAGCAGTGTTATTCATATATTAAAACTGTCAACTGCACACTCATTTGGCAGAATAAAAGTTTGACAATTATTCATTTGTTCTTTATTGTCACATTTGAGTAACATTTATAATTAAACAAGTTGTAATTAAACAAATTAAATAAATGACTACAACATTTCCCCCTGTTAAGTGCAGTAGACTGAAATGAATAGCTTTATTTGGAAATATAACGTATCAAATTTTTAATGGACTTACATGAAATCTTTCTTCAACATAGACCCCACTAATTAACTGATTAAGTGTTATTTTTTATAAAAAG